GATATTTATATATTTTATTGGATCCATGTGAAAACTGTCTTCACCTACCCACTCATCTATCCTAGAGTTTGAGGCTCGTTATAGCATCACACTGTCTTTCATGTTGTTTTTAAATCAAATTCACCAGGAAACAGAGTCTGGAGTACATTTGTCCTAAGACCCTCACCATAGTTGCCACTTCTTTTGCATTAATTTGATGAATATAGTGAACCAATGTAACCTTCTGCAGAGCTTCAACTTAGTCAAAATCCTTTTGGACTCTATTATGACAGAAGGTAGATGAGCTAACACAGCTCCAGAGCAAAACCATAAATGTATTCTGCTGTACCAGGCTATTTAACTACTTCTGTTACTCCTTGTTGATAGTAACAGAAAATTATGGACTCTGGGAACCAGTGCCATGCAAAGACTGCTGCCAGACTGGAAACACCAGGCCCCACCCCCTTCCGGCATGCAGGGCGGTAAACAACCCCCACCATAAGTGACCAGCTTATCCAGAGAAACACAGGCGGTGATGATAGTTATCGAAGTGAAATGCAATTGGATGCCTGAGGTGCCTTGGTGTTTCACTAGCATTGCAAGTCTAGGGACAGTGGTCTGATCAGAAGTTCAGAGGATAGCAGTGCACAGTGTGGCATCAAGGGGGCTCTCCCTTTGAGCTTTGTAGCCATTGTGGAGTGCTTTGAAGTCCTATATCATTTCCATTGTTTTGTTGGGTTGGATTTCATCCTTTTTTGTTTTGTTTGATTATGTTAAATCCGAAGACAAGAACAGCTATTTCAAAGATATATTATGGTAGCCATTTTGGATTTACTATTGGTTTGCTTTGAACTCCTTTATTGCATTCACTGTCTTGTTTTTATTGTTTCTATTCTATTCTGTTCTGTTCAGTTTTTCATATAAAGTTATCTGCAGCTATTTTGAAGACTTCAAAAGGCATTATAGTAACTATTGTTGATTGTATAATGCTTTGAAATCCTATATCACTTACACTGGCTTGTTTTGATTACTTATTCTGTTTTATCTTCTTTAAAAGAAAAACATGTATTTTCAGGTCAAAAGCTGAAGCCGTGTTAACCTGGAAAAACTACACAACTGATACAGAAGCAACAATTGAGTCCAAAATATTCCACTATCATTGTGCAGCATTTAATAATTTGCTCTTGTAGTCAGACATGTCCATATGATGAAACAATGATTTTAATTTACTATGATGCCAAGGTAAGTAGTTTCAAGACCCTCTAACATACTACAATAGTTCTTTAAGTCGCAGACTAAATAATTACGGTAATGTGAGGGTGCTGCCAAGTGGCAACTACTGTATGCCTGATAGTACTATTCACATACTAAGGAAATGATAATGAGAGGATTGATTTCCCCAGGAAACACACTATGGGATAGAGATTTGTATTTAGGGAGTTTGTTGAAGAGACCTATCAACAATAACCTTGTGTAAGAGATATGGGAAGCAAGATACAGTACGGAGAGAAGCTGAATTATGGTGCAGTTGCACTAAACGTATCAATATATTCCATATGGAATTCTGAAACAAAGACAGACTGTCAGAGTTGTCCTAAATGAGGCCAGAGTTCCAGTGTTTTACATTCCTTTACTGATCATGCATCAATTTTAGCATGGCACAAAGAAAGCTGCTCAATAGCTACACTATTCACAGCTCCTTTCAGCTGAAGGTAATGCCTGGAAAGGAACTTAGGTGGGAGCCATCAGCAAACAACCCTACTATGAACTAGGAAAGCACTTCCTTTTTTAATGGGGGATATTGGTGGGTCATTCTTACACCCACTGTTAGGGTGTCCAGATTTAGCAAATAAAAAGCAGCAAATAAAAATACTACATAGGAATATCCGTTTTTATTCATCAATTTAAAATATAATCCATTGTTTATGAAAAATTCAAATTCAACTGGGCATCTTAAGTTTAAATCCTGCCACGATAAAAATATGTACTAGAGTAAGTAGAAGAATTGTAAGAGTATTAAAGCATTTGTCCTTTTGTAATCTCATACTTTAGATAGTACTAATTTCACACTGACATGAGAGGCCAAAACAAAAATTGTTTTTTTTTTTTGGAATCTTGAAGCTGTCTAATTATAGAGATTCAGTATCCTTCACTACATTTTACCAAGGAATTAGAAGTAGGCTTAGAAAAAACATTTCAAAAATGTTAAGGAGACTGAACTGTGGGATAGACAGAAATGGAGCAACAGCTCCATTCCGATGGGAATGAAAAGGACTGTGACTTCACTGACATAATCAAAGAATTTACTGACTTCACGATGAATAAAAGTAGGAGGTGAACAAAATCTATTATTTACTGACTGAATTTACTTACTGACAGCATGATGAACATACAGAGGTGAACAAAATCTAATAAAATTGCATATACTTGATTCTACATAATAGGAAAAGATAAACGTGGTACAAGACATGTGTAAAACAAAAAAGAAATATATTTGGAAGGAGAGAAATTATACATTTGGCATACCATTTATCAGGATATGTAATATGTGTGAACAAGTTAACTAATCTATTGCACCAAGCTGTTGTTATTCAGCAGGTGATCATTTTCTGCTAAATATATTGCACCTGAGATTTTAAAGATATTTTTAACCACCTGGCATTTCTACAAGATGTATTCAAGATGTTAAATGATACTAGTAATTCTATTAGCTAAGAATACACACATAAAACCTGAGAAACAAAAAAAAAAATCAAACAGCATCTTAATTAAAAGAAGTTTATAAAAATGTTTGTCTACAAAAGCAATTCCCTACTCTATTTCACTTAAAATATTTACTCATATTACACTCTGCTGGTAATTGATTATCATGATATACTTCACCCCACTCATACATTGTTTTGGAATTCAAGGTAATTGATCCAAATCACTAATAGGTCTAGTACACATATATGTGCATCACAATAAAACACTTCATAACATCTTCAAATACTGTTTGTAGGGGACACAAAAATATTAGAAAGTCAATATATTTTAAGGTTTTTCCCATTTTCTTTCAAAATTCTAAATTATAACACCACCTTTTTAGTGGCTAGTTTTAATTATCAGTGTCTTAGCCAGAGGGGTTAGCATTTGGCCTTAAAATTCACTATAGACATTAGTGAACAGAACAAAATCTGGGTTATCTGCTTATGTTCTACTAACTAAAAATCTCCTTTCATTACAGCACCACCAAACCAAGTCTTTACTCACAGGACCTGTGTTGCAGCACAGGGGGTCAGTACACAAGAGGGAACCCTCCTAAACCAAACTCCAGAAGGAGCTGGGGTGTGCTTCTTTTATAGCATCTGCAAGTCTGTGTCAGTGTGGGTTAGGGATGAAACAAAGGAATCTTCTGGGAGGCCTGCTGTGAGGGTTGGATGTGTAAATAAGGGGTCCAGATCTTAGACTTGGCAGAATGCCCACTCCCCTTCTTCAAAACGTAGAGCAACACTTAAAACATTATAACACTGTCACCTGCCTGCATTCCTTACTTGTACATACCCAGGAAAGGAAAATGTATGTAAAACATATAGTTATGCTAATTAAAATTACCTTAGTAACTCTTACTTTATATCCTTTACATCCCAAAAGATCATTCCGTTTTGAGCTATAATTATTTATAAGTTTACTATTAATTATCTACTACATATTATCTATGCATGGACTATCCATCACAATACTTATTGCAAATAGCTTTTATCTGAAATTGAGCATATTTCATGGTTACTTTCTTGTTTTACTAGTTGTTTTAGAATGTGTTTAGGAAATATAAGAATGTCTTGCTTTGGCATAACATTATAGAAAGGCAAATGAATATATTATTGGAAAAAAATAATAATATAATAAAAATAATAATATAATACTATTTCAGACCAAAAGAGAAATCATTTTTATATTGTCTATTACTTGTCTTGACTTTTCAAATTTTCTCTCCGATTTTATGTGATGACTTTGGATGGCATGGCAAGTTAGTAGGCTAATCCAGTAACTTTCTTAGACCTGTGTATTTTCTGGGTACCAAGCAAACGCCAGACACAGAATAAATATAGTTACTTAAAATTGTTACCAAATATTATATTGTTTCCAGTCATGTAATTACTATAATTAAAGACTCTAATTTAATGGTTATATTACAATGCTTAAATGAAAAATATCTTCCTTCTCTGCTTTCTCTGCCTACCTGTATATAAGACAACCAAAGCTTTACTTTTCAATTAAATTATGACAAATACTGTATACCTTAATTTCCACTAGTACAAATTTTTCATTAAATATAAATAAGCTAATCCCTTATATACATTAAATTGTACTATCAATAGTTCTGTAACTCTTATTCCAGATACTATTCCTAGTAATTTTCACCTAATTTTTATAAAAACTTTAGAAACTATACATTATTATCTATTTTAACAGTCAAGAAAACAGAACTGCAGAGAAGTTAATAGATCAGTTGAAATGTCACAGCATCTAAGGGCCAGTACTGGTATACGAACCAGGGTGTCAGAGCCTATGCAGTTATCCATCCCTCTCTTATACAAAGGTGAGGATAACTAGAATATCAATTGCTCTTAACTCTTCCAACGACAGCCTATCCATGACAGGCTGAGGTAGAGTCTCCTCTTGAGCTATCTTCACCTCTTACACCACCACCTCTTATGATGATCTGTCAGTTTTTCTTTTCATCCTCCAATTGATGATAATCCCTCAAAGCAAAGACTGTCTGAAGACTGGCATAGTAACATAGTGCCCAGATTACACTGCGGGATCAATAAATGTCTGTTGAATGAATGAAAGTGTCTCACCAATGGCAGTGTACATGTTAGCATTCCACCCTGCACCAGAACAATTATATTGTTCTGTGAAAATGCATCGCCATTGCATTGCTATTAATTTAAGCAATTCTCTGCTATAACTTCACAATTCTTTTTAAAATGTTTTGGGAAAGAACACCAATAGCTGTCCCAAGAAAAACATCTTACCTTCTAAGTCTTCTTTCTCAAAATGTGTTTTGAGAATAGAACGAGTTCCACCTCTATCCACAACTGCTTCTTCATCATTTCTCTGCATAATAGAATATAAAAGATTAAATACAAATAAATGTATTCTTTTAATTACAAAAAAGAACTTTAATATGACCTAATATTTACAGGTTTAATTTAATCATTTTTAATCATTTAAATCTATTTATATGTGAGCATTATATCGATTATCAAGCATTAATTTACAAAGGATATTAAAATAAATTTGAGCCTGGCATAATGACACATGCCTATAATCCCAACACTTGAGGCAGGAAAATCAGTGTGATTTTGAGGCCATCCTGGACTACATAGTATATTGAACACCATTCTGAATGTACATAGTGAGATACTGTCTCAAAAAAAAACATAAAATAAATTTATTCACATATTCAAAGAAGGAATGTTATTTGACTTTCCATAATATTAATGGTAGTCAATCATTCCCATTGGAATCATTTGTTAGTGAGATGAAAAACAGAAAATTAACGCTATCCTGTCAATTTAGTAATCAGCATCTTTATCCCTGAAAAAAAGTTTTTGTTAACAAGTTCACATTTTGAACTATACAAGGAAAATATAAAAATCATTAGTATTAACACCACTAAAACTATGGTGAGATGAAATAATTCTACCGTCATTGAAAATTGATTTTAATCCCTTGAAAGCAATTATAGGCGATTATTAGACAAATGGCAACTCTAATTATTTTGTTTAAAATAGAATGCATTTATGCATTCATTCAGTTTCCATATTAATTTTTTGACAATTTAGAATAGATAGACAAATTCCATATTTTGTGAACATTGTTACACATGTTCAAAACAATCCATTCACTACTTATTACTCAATAAAATAGTGAGTATAGCATTTAGTGTAATCAGTTTGACCAGGTAAAATAATAAATGAGATGTAATATAAAATATTTCTGACTTTCATCTTGCTGTAAATACCCATGTAAAAATTCACTTAAAAATGAATGCTGACCATGACAGGAAAATTAAAAAGATAAACTACAGCTGAATGAAGGTATTTGTAAACCTAATTATTATAAACCTTTGATTAAATACTATAATGTATAACACTGAAAAAAATAATCATGAGAATCCAGAAAAGGAAGAAATCACTATCCATTTAAATCATGAACAAAATAAAAGAAAAAGACCAATGTTACAAACTTGGGGAAATTTTTATCAAAAAGATTCATAAATGGGGTAAATAGAGTAAAGAGAAAAGACAATGTCAAACTAAATGTATTTTTAAAAATGATACATAATTACTTGGCAGTGTTTTTGGACCTGGACTATGAAATCATCGGTAACCTTGAGATGGGCGACCTAAGAGAAAATGTCAAAGTCAAAACCTAGTGAAGCAAAATGCTGATATAATCTATGGTGAAGAAATGGGGAAAAGATACAGGTTTTGCTTTTCAAGATGCTACTGATTCTCAAGAACAACATCTATCACCCTCCTTGCTTCTACAACTATAAGGAAATTTAATTCCCAGTAGGTCCCAAAAGGTGAGGGATGACATATGACTGATGAAGAGTTCCCCAAAATAACAGCAAGATTTTTCCAATTTTCAGATTCAAAAACACAGAATAGATGTGGAAATAGATAGTAAGAGTGTGGATTAATGGCAGAAGAAATATAGAGTTGGCTTAGTTGGAATTTGTTATCTACCACCTGACAGAGACTGAAGATTTAATGTTACACCTTGGGTGATTAGAAAAGACTTCCACTGTTTGGTTGGTTGTCTGAAACATGGGTCAAAAGATAGGTTAAAGGAAGTAAAGTTGAAATGCTCATATATACTACTGAAGAAAGTAATTAATCCATTTTCTCATTGGTGAGACTCAATATCCATAATTTAAAGGAGGAAAGTTTTAATTTGGCTCACAGTTCCAAGGATTCTCCACAGGAAGCTGGCCCCAAGACAGAAACATCAATAACATCAAATGGTACAGCAAAGCTACTCGGTCAATGCAAGCTAGGAAGCAGAGTGGGGAAGAGCCAGAGAGGAAGGAAAATGAACCAAACTGAGGCCCCAAAGCCAAATGTCCATGACTTATCCAGACACATTGGGAAGTGTGTTCCACCAATCCTGCTGGTGGGTCCCAAAGTCAATCAGGTTGCTCTTCCACCCTAATCACCACCGTGACCAAACTGTTAGTGAAATGGAGATACTAAACTAGATTTATCACGTAAGACCTTCATACCCATATTTTTATCATGACCTTCAGAAATAAATTTGTGAAAGGGACTCTAGCATACTTGAGGAACACTGTTGTCTCTCTCTCTGAAGGTCAGAAATTTCAGTGAGAGCCCTGTAGATGAGACTGAATAGATCTGCACGCCCGAGGAAACCGATGGAGGCATGCTATTTGTCCCTGACCATCTCTCTACCTATGGACTGCATACCCTGACAGTACTCACTTGCTAATTCCTAGACAGTTCTACATTTTATTTTTCTTTGTATGACACAAGGAGGTGCTAATCAGTTGACTGACCTCGTCATGGACAAGGTTAACACCCAGGGACAAAAGAGATTATACAGCAAGCCACTGCCTGGCTGCAACCATCCACCAATGCCAACCTCTCGGACTTTTGCTTTTCCATGACACAGGGCAGCAGAAGTACGGAATAATTAATTTACCTGATCCTAAATGAGGATAGGGCTCCTAAAGGGAAAAGGTAAACCTGAGGACCAGGAGACCAGGGAGAAAGTACAGACCTGAGCAGCAGCCTCAGAGATTCCAGCGTTAACCTTCCAAAATGACTGTGTTAGAGATATCGACAGGAGACCGCCATGGAGAAGATGCAAGTTAGACATTGACTCCTTGTGAATTTTAATCTCAGGGAGGGAAGACACAGGCCCAGCCCTCCATAGTGAGGCCTATGTTAGCCTTCAGTCCAAAGGTCTGCTTGAACCCCTTCCCCATGCCCTACACCGAGTACAGACCAGATTGCTGACAGTTTTTCTCAGGGAGAGAAAGGATACTACACCTTGGTTTGGATGGTCACCACACTCTGGGGATGGTTAACCTGGTCTGGGGAATGAAAAGGGGGCCGCAGTACAAAGAAGGCACCTCACAAACCCACCGGCCCTAATGCTAGGTGAAAAAATTCCTAATTTAATGGATTCCAAGACAGCAGATCCTGGGAAGAAACCACTTCTTCAAAAACACAAAGGACTTTTTTTTTTTTACTCAATCTTTATTAACTTTTTAAATGTCTTATTATTTCTCTCTTTGATCATCAGGATTTGGGGGTAGAGTTTTCTCCCATTTTACCCGCTTCTTTCTTTCTCCTTTTAACTTTTTTCTTTATCTTTTAAAATTTTCTGTACTTTGCACAGTTTTCCTTTTTTCTTCTTTTTCTTTTCTGTGACTATTTTTGAGTATTATTACTTCCTTCTATTCTGCAGTAGGATCCCCTATGTCACTTTTCTCTCCTTTTTCTCGTCTTTGATTTTTTCCAGTATTAACTTTTTCCATCCTCCAGTTTCCCATCACTTCTGCCTTTAATACTGTAACTACCAGGACTCTGAATCTTTAATACCTACTAACTCTATTTTATTACTGTTTTAAGGTCAGGGGTTTAGCTCAATGGCGTAAGTGCCTGCTTGGCAAATGCGAGGTCATGAGTTTGATCTCTGGCACCAAAAAGACAAAATAAAATAAAATAAAAGTTCTCTATTACTGTTATATTGTTAGTAGAGGTAAAGTTGTTGCAATTATTAAATATTTGTTGTAGGTCATTATTTGGTTTGACTTAGGGATTATACTACAATTATAGATCTCTTTTCAATGGCTAAGGGTGGCATATTATTAATTTGCAGGTTATTCAAATATCCACTTCTTTCTTGACACTATTGTTGGTGATTTTATTATCATAGCCAAGATGATAGAATTATTGCTACTAATCATTTTTTTTTTTTTTACTGGATGCCAGTATCTGAATTTCTTCTGTGTAGTTAACAATACTGCAGCCCATTCTCAGTCTGGGCTGAATGGACAGAGAACCTGGTTCTGGGCCAAATATGGCGGAAACAACCCCACAAAAGTTGATCTGTGCGGGGGGCTGGGGATTTAGCTCAGTGGCATAAGCACCTGCCTTGTAAGCAGGCGGTCGTGAGTTCGATCCCTGGTACCGGTAAAAATGAAAAAGACAAAAAAAAAAGAAAAGAAAAAAAAAAGTTAATCTGTGGGCCACTAAAAGAGAGTAAACCAAAAGCCACATAGCCAACCTATTCAAAATGATTACAGAGGAGATAACAAAACAGATAAATAAGGCATTTGGCAAAGCTCAAAAAATACATAATTAAATAGATAATGGGCCTAGTAAATGAAATGAGCAGCAAATCTATGGAGAACACTAATAAAAGCTAGCCAAACTAAGTAAAATAATACAATCATGAATGAACAGCACACAAAAGAAGTAGAGTCACACAAAAAAAGTATGAAATAAAATTCAGGTTAAAAATTTTATTTAAAAAATAGGCAGCAAGATGGTCAGTGTGAGACAGAGTATAACAGCTAGAAAACTCAGAGCTGGTGCCAGTAACCAATTAATAAGAGATACCTTAAAAACAACAAGAAAACATTAAAAAAAAGACTCAATGGTTATTAGATGACAAAAAAATATTAAACAACCATTAATTGAAAAATCAGAAGTGACATTAAAAAATATTTACTGAAATAATAGCAAAAACATCTCCAAATACGGAGAAAATTTTGTCACACAAATGAAGCTATAAAACCCCCAAAGGGCCATAGTCTCCATGATGCAAATATGCTGAATCACAGAAGTACAAAGCAAGAACAGAATCTTAAAAGCAGGGTGAGAAAAGCAACGAATCACATATTAAAACCTATTAGAATTACAACAGACTTCTCAACACAACCTTTAAAGTCCAAAAAATCTTATAGTGAAGTGCTTCAAGCCCCAAGAGAAAACACTACCCACCCTGATACAGCCTGCAAAAATATCTTTCAAAATTGATGGAATAACAAGATATTTTCATAATAAAGAGCACCTAAA